GTCATTGAGGCAAGATACTGGGTATCATATCTGGTCTCTTACCCTTTACTCTCTGGAAATGTTACCTGTCCTCCTTATTGACCACAGTAAACTAAGCAGCTTTTTCCTGCCATGGCCCTCTGGATGAATTGCCCGCCTCAGAGTTAGCCAATTATGGACTGAATCTTCTGAAATTGTGAGCCAAATTAAATATCCTTTAAGTTGTGGGTGTCAGGTATTGTGTCTCAGTGAGAGGAAAGCTGACCAATACAGAAACTGGTACCAGGAGTGATATAATTGCTATGACTATACCTTACAATGTATTTCAAAAGTCTTTGAAATGGGTTGGCAGAAGAGGTTTGAAAAGGTTTAGAGATTCAGGCTAGAGAAGCTGTAGATTATTGTAAGTAGAGCATCATCAGTGCTTCTGGTCAGAGCTCAGAAATCAAGAATAGTGATAGGAATAAGAACAGTAAACGTTAAAAAAAAAAAAAAAACAGTAAAGGCTAAGCTCAAGAGGTTTTAGCTGGGAACAAAGATTCTTTAGGGAGTTGGACTAGAAGCCATGCATGTTACACTCTGGTAAAAAAGTCTACATCTTTCCTATGTCCTGAGGCTTTGTGGGAGGCTGCACTTAAGGCAAATTGATCTGAAAAATAAAATTTCAAGGCAGCTTAACATTCAAGACGTGGCATAGGTACTGCTTTGCTATATTTAGGCAAATTTAAAAGGAGAATGTACAACAAAATGCAGAACAGAAAATTTGAAAACCTTAAATTTTGACACAATACAAACCACATGTAATGTTGCAGTCAAAGGAGATGTATGCTCTTGAAGAGTTTATTTTCTTAAAAAACGAACCAAGTACTTTCTACAGGGACAAGCAGAAAGATGTCTCAAGGGCATCTCAGGACTCAGCAAGACCACAACTATCACAAGTTTCAAGGCACAAAAGTGTAAACATTTAAATTAAGAATACAATCATTTGACCCTTCGCTTGAGAAGGGACACCTAGAGTATTGATTGCCTGAGATTCCTTCCTCAGTGCTCAGTCATATAGGTACAGTGGTACATCAGTTCATGAACTTAATTCTTTCCAGTATGTTGATCACATAATTGCAAGCAGTTTGGTTTCAATCAGAATTGTGGAATGATTTCTGTGACCAGAATTGTGGAAAGAATTAAGTTCATGAACTAAATTGCCACTTTACTTAATGGCCACTATAACCCAAGCGGCCCTGGCTACTGCTTCTGCTAACAGCAAACCTTGCCATTGTCTATAGGATTCTGATTTTAGTAGCATGTAGATTGAGAGTTGTGGAGTCAGAAATGCTTCCACTCTGATTTCAAAAGAAAGCTTGGGAGACCAGTCAAAAATTCCTTAAGAGAATATTGTGTAAAGCTGTGGAAATGATGTTGAAAATGCAGTGGAGACACCAGGGAAAGGGAAACTCCAAGAACAGGATATATCTTTTGAGGAAAGCTGCACACTTTGGGAAATGCCAACATATAAAACAGGCCATAGAAATGGGGCCACACACCCTCTGAATCTTGCATCTTATCCTCATGTACCCCACATGCCAGACATGAAGCTAGAGGTTGTTATATAAGGTTCACTACTCAGACTTTCCTTTGAGTCTCAGAAGAGAATTTGACTTGGAATTTTGAGAAGTTCTTCAACGTTTGAGACTTTGGGAAAGGGATTATTCCATTCTTGGTTGTACACAGGCTAGTAGTTAACATGTTAGGCAGATTGTTAACTTGTTATTGTGTTTATTTGCAGATTAAGTGGTTTAAAGGTATGTGTTTGTGTGTCAAGTTGACAACGATTTTGTCAACTTGTTTGGCTTAGAAGTCACTGGGGGGAGTAGTAAAGCACACTTATATGTGTGTGTGGGGGGCCAAGGAGGTACAGTTTTGCACACTGTATATGACCCCTGGCCCTTTCCTTAGGGGCACTGTTCCCCTTTTTGGTTTCCCAACCACCAAAAAGTAAGAAGTTTTCGTCTGCCACACCATCCCACCATGATGTTCCTTCCTTAGAGTAAGCCAGGCATGGACTGAATCCTCTTAAACTATGCATCACTTTAAATTTTTCCTCCTCTGACTCATGGGCATTCGTAGTGTGTCCCATTATAGAATGCCACTAAAGGAAAGCTGAATGTTACACTAAAGGAAAATTGAATAGTACAATGAGCTTTTCCTGCACACACCAAAAGCCTGAAGAATCAAAGTACAATAGCTTATTTACTAGTAGTTTGAAGTAAAGATGACCTTGACTAAGTCAAAGTACAGACTTTTCTAATTATTAATTTTGAGGTGTCAGAGTGGAATAACATCTAGTTATAACTTATACTCAGGGGGAGGGTCTCTTTACAGTTAGGTTCATCAGTGTCTTAATAAGTTGAAGCAATGATGGTGATAGGAGCTAGTAAGCTATATAAAAACTCTTACTACTTATTACCAAATGTTGCAGGGTCTTTATTGGCAACCGTTCTATTGTTATTAGTGGGATACTGAATGTAGTGTCTGGCGCAATGTTTTTGACTACATGAAACTGCTTTTAGTCAGTGGCTGCAGAAGAATATGATCATATGTGTATTTTAACTATAAAGTTAATTTTAATTTCAGGCCCTTTGTTCATGATTTTAATTTTATATCCAGACTCAGAAGTGGGGAGGGACAGTAAATATAGACACTTAGCAAAGAAAGAAGAAGTGGAGATTATGCAAGCACTCTAGGCAATCTTCAGGGAAGCAAGATGATTTTCTTCACACCATAGATTGAGCTGATATTTGCAGCACCATGTTCTTCTTGAGCTAAATCTTCCAAAACATTGGTTATTTGGCATAGTATACAGAAATCTAATATTAGTTGTCATCCCACAAAGTACAAATTCGAAAGTATAGGAACCACATTCTATTAAGAATTTCAGCCATGAAGTATAGTGTATCTGTGGGTTCTGCATCCATGAACTCATTAAACTGTGGATTGAAAATATTTAGGAAAAATTATAGCTGTACTAAGCATATATAAAATTTTTCTAAACACTACAGTGCAACCAGTATCTACATACCATCTCTGTAGTATTATAAATGATCTAAAGATGCTTTAGAGTACGCGGAAGGGTATGCATACACTATATACAAATACTGTTTCATTTTATATAGGGATCCAAACATCCACACATTTTGGTGTGTGAAAGAGGCCCAGTACCCTTCAGAGATGCTGAAGGATAAATATATGTCCATTGAACTGGTAAATCTTGAGCTCTGTAAGTATAGCTATTATTAGGAATCAGTATGAAATACACTTTTCCACATTGGATAAGACAAATGAGGAATATTTAAATATCAATGGAAACTAACAGTTTTCTAAGAAAGTGTTAAATCTTTTAAATAAAGGACAACTAATTTATGAACTTTTGTAGATTTAGTGGAGAATTCCAGAATAACTGGAATCTTTCAGAAGTGAGCAATTTTATAATCTCAATTTAAACAATAAGTCTCTTCCTTAGAATTAAATTATTTCTTATATTTCAGGGAGTTGCACTATTATTAGATACATATAATGATAGCCAAAATGTTCCGTTAAGTTTGAAAAATTTTATAAATAAGAAAAAGTAGAACTTTAGAGGATATGTGAATAAAAACACTCAAATCTAGTGATGCATTTCCCATTTAATCAAGGTAGTATGTACTTTTCTTGATTTGGCAGTCAGGAATACATTCTGTTTAACAGAAGTGTCATTTCTACAACAGGTTGGATGAGTGAACTGTAAAGTTAAATCATGTAATTCTGACAGTGAGATGACAGGACACAAGAGTAGATGAAAGAATGCTTGCCTTCACTCCCACCTCTGCTTCCTAGAACTCTCAAAAACATATTTCAGTTGTTAGTAATTTTGATAAATTTCTGCATGAATGTAAAGTAGAGAAACACTTTTTTAAAAAATTAACCAAAAAAGTTATTGAAAAGGCATCAAAAAACCTAAAAGAAGATTCTTAACAAAAAAAATTGTGAGAAGAAGGAGAAGTGATGAACCAATTACATGTATTTGTAGTGGGTTTCATAAGAGGTTCTTTTTACTTTGATACTAAGACATGCAGAAGGTTCAAAAGATCCTGATTATATTTCTTATAGGTTTTTTTAGCATCCCAATTTATATTTTGTTATTCTTCATTAAAGTGTTGAGAATAATCAAAATTACTATACTGCTGGAAAGGATGGTTGTTTTGTTATTTAAGCTGATTGGCTTTCTTTTTAAATCTATATATTTTTTGTTAGTGTTTGATTTCTTGTGTTAATGTGTGTAAATCTGTGTGTGTGTGTGTGTGTGTGTGTGTGTGTCTGTGTGTCTGTGTGTGTCTGTGTGTAGCATGAGTAAATGAATGTGTAACCCTGTGGGGAAGATGTGAGTTAGTTCAGTATTTGTCCAGAAGTAAACATACAGTAAGCTGCATGATTAATGGATCCATGTTTAGGAAATAAGCACAACAGTACAATTGGCTTATTTTCATCATTCTGTTGGATAAATAAATAATGAAAAAAAAAGTAGATGTTCTTTTCTCCTTTTAAAAGTATTGGAATACCCAATGGGATGGGATGGGAAGGAAGGCTCTTGACAGAAATGGAAAAGACCGTATTGTTATATGTCATTTTAGAATTGACCCAAGCCTATTTTCTTCAGCAGAAATCTATAACCTTATTTCCATGTCATCATATAGAGAAAATACCTATACAACATTTTACATTATAATTTATTCCGTGAGATTAAACCAGAAATGTAATAACATTATCCATGTATTTAAAACACCATCTAATATCAATTCAGGTTTTTCTACATTTTTCTGCTCTTCCCCACTGATGTTTTATTGTGTGTAATGTATCCAAAATATCTGCAGAATTTAAGACCGTTTTTTGTGAAATATGATAAAGCCTTGATTAATTGGAAGCTAATTAATGAGAATTATCAATTAACCAGTTTTATTTATTTATTTTCTGCTACACTCTCCTTTTAGAAGGAAGAGGCAAATGACAAGAAAACAAGCTGTTAACAGGTATTTATGTATTTATTTTTTAAAAATCAACTTCCTGGGAATGTCCTGGAGCTTGTACAGATTCCGCCCAACTGACATAATCTTGTTCCCTAAACTATACTTACTAAAGTAAGAAAGGGGAGCCGTTAAAAATTTTCAGCAAAGAATTTTAAATGTTGCTTAATCCTTCATGATAATAAGAAAAATGAAATCCAAAGAGTTTATTAGAACTTGCGCATCTATTTGAAGTTTCTAGTTAAGTGGTGTCTTCATGCTTTCACTGTTTTCAGTTAGTCATTATTTACATGTATTACCTAGGAGTGGATTTCAGAACCATACAGTGGGGTAATGGTTTGTAGCCACAGGGAGCAACTCACCCTTTTGGAACAAAATAGAAATTAAAGAAAACTGCAAGATCATGGGGATTGACTAAAGGTCCTTGACATAAAAAAACTGTGACACTATTTTTAAATAATGGGAAAATAATTCAGATCCCCATCCATCTCTTGATGTGGAATGTTTGGGAAGGTGCATTCACTTATGCAGGGCAGCTTAATAGCACAGACTATTAAGTGTGCTACAGCAATAATGGAAAAGAACTAGGCCTCTAAGTACGAATCATTCTAAGCATTCAGCAAGCTGTTTGTAGACATGCTAGTTGTTCTAAAATATGTGAAATTATTTTTCTTCAAATACATTTTTAAAAATATTTGGAAATCCTCCAAAAATATGCATGAAAATTTCAGTTAGATTGCCATCTCAACAGAGATACCATATAATTCCAGGCCTCATACCTTTTAGGTAGTAATGGGGGAAGGAGTGGCCAGTGACTCAGAGACAAAGGAGGAGGAGGGCAACCCTGATCCTAAGGCATATTTTAATTTTGCCTGGCAGTAGTGCCCCCTTTCGACTTCCACACACCTTTCTCAGGCTAAATCACTTCTTGGTATTTTCTTTTCTTCTTTTTAGGATGCTTTTAATTCAAGATTTGTCTATATTTTATCTACAAGAAAACATTATATGGTTTTGGCGGTGATGGGGACTATCCTATGTTGTTTATCCTGAATTTTCAGCATAGAAAATGAAATTCATTATGATAGTGTTTCTAATATCTGGAGCATTTCACAGGATAGACGTGAGTTTTAAATATCATGTACACTAACTAATACCCTAGTGACCTGAGCCAGTGGACCTGCTTCCTTAAGTGCCAAAATTTGTATTTGAATGTGACATCAATGCAGGGGAGTTAGAATCCACTAGACTTGGGGCTGGGGCTTAAGCTCAGTGGCAAAGCACCTGCCTAGCAAGCACAAGGTCATGAGTTCGATTCCTGGTACCACAAAAAATAAAAAACAAAAAACGAGACTTTACTAATGAAAGATTTGAAGTAAAAATTGGCTAAGTTTAGATTTGGATATTTTATTTTTATTTTTTTAATTTTATTTTTAGAGATAAAGAGCGAAAACATATTAACAAACAGACAGACATAAATGAAACAACATAAAAATAATACAGAATTTCAGATTGAAAATGCTTCAGATTTTATATGAATGTAATCAAATTCTGGCATCAAAATACCTCTCATCTTTATTTTCCTAGTAAGTGAAAGGAAAATTAGGTACAACTTCTTAATTAAATGAAACAGCACTTTTTTGTTTTTGTTTTTTCGGCTTTTTTCTCCGGTACCGGGAACCAAACTCACGACCTTGCGCTTGCCAGGCAGGCGCTTTGCCGCTGAGCTAAATCCCCAGCCTCTGGAACAGCACTTTTTAAACTGTATAGTTTTATTTTGGATCATATTACAAATGTACATACATATGTAATAAGATTTTACACTTACCAAACTATGAGAAATATGCAGTGTTTTTGCAAGTATATACACTAACTCCTTCACATAACCAACAGAAGAATTAAAAGAGTCAGAAACTCTGATACCTATAGAGGCAAGGTGGGTAACACAAATGAAAGACCAGAAAACAACAGGTAGTTGTAAGGACTATGGTCAACTAGAAAGTATATATTTTTTCTAGGGGTGGTAGCTATTATTACCTCAGCAGATTGTTACCATATGGGAATGTAGGCTGAGTTTCATTATAGTCTTATTTTTTTAAAGAAGCTGAGAATCCAGACTTTTATAGGAAATTATCCAATCCTTTAATGTTAGCAACTAAATCAATAAAAACAAGAACAAAGCAACACTTAAGGCAAAATAAAACCCACATGGGATCTGGATCTAGACTATTGGCTTCAGTTTATAATCTCTGCTCTAAATTTTAAATCCACAAGGTACTGAAAATACAACAGAAATGCAGACCACACACACACACACACACACACACACACACACACACAGTCTTTTATAAATATAAGTAAAGTGCTCAAAGTTCGAAAATTATGTATAATAAAGAAATACTAAGTGGAGTACCTATAAATAATACTTCTAGTATTCAAAATGGTGGTTATGTACTTTATGATTTTTACAAATTGCATAAGAACTAATATAGCTTTCCCTTAAAGTGGTTTGACAATAAAGTTACAAAATTTTGTTTTTAATTTTATGAATGAAACATAGCATAAAGGAAATCATTGATTCCATGTCCACAATAGAATATGTTCAGTAACATAATTGGGTTTTGAGTAAAGATCAATTTGTTTCACTTTGATCAGAAGATAGTCATATGTATAGCATGTGTTGTTTTATTTTAGATTGGTTTTCTTCCAAATTAACTTCTGATTTCAACTACAAAAATTCCCTTATTTTTACAAATCGCTAAGATAACAAATAAAATAAATGTCAATAGTTAACATAATAAAACTTTATTTGAACTTTTGGTAGGCATTAGTAAAGATAAAACAAAATCAGTCATCTGAGATTTTATTAAGAGGTAAATGTTTTACTTACCTTAAACTTGGCTGGTATGTCTGTCCTGCCTTTGACCTTAGTATTTAATCCACTTATACTGCAATGCTTTCGCCATGTGTATGTGCTTTTATTACTGGTAATCTGAAAGCATATTTGTCTAAAAAGGAATCAAATTCCAATATCTCTAGATAAAAAAAAATTAAAGGAAACACTCCCCACTGATAAACTTACTTTAATAATCCTATTGATTTTCATCATAAATTCTTAGCATAGTAAATTTTTAAAATTTATTTCAAAAATAAAAGGGAAACATATTAACAAACAGACATCCATTTACAAAAAAGCATAAGAATAATAGAAGCAAAGCCACTTTGAAGATATCAATATGTAATACAACCACCATTGTTAATTCCCTACCAGTTTGTTTGTAACTCTGTATTGTCTGTATTGTGCTTGTGATATGTTGTAAAATGTTGTATGTCTGTTAATATTTCCCTCCTTTTATCTTTAAAATAAAAAAAAAAATAGAAACAATACAGAGTTACACACAAAGTGTTAGGAAATTGACAATGGTTGTTATATTACATATTGATATCTTCAAAGTGGTTTCTCAGGAAAACAAATAGAGACATGCAAGATTTATCAAGTAACTAATCATTAACTGTTCCTTTCAGTAAAGCGATAGAAGTCAGTAATACAACTATGTTAGCTATCCTGTATATACATACATCCGTAATTTCCCCTTCTTTCTTTTCTCTTTTCCCTCACCCCAGTTGCTCTTTCCTTTTGAGCATTTTCCTTTCATTTCACAGTGTCTATCATACCTCCTAATTTTTATTCACTCTTTCAGGTACTTATACTAGTGAGACAATACGTTGCTTACACGTGGAGGTCTGGTTTATTTCACTAATCAGTATGGTCTCCAGTTGTGACCATTTACTTGTAAAAGCCTTGAGTTTATCTTTCTTTATAGCTGAGTAATATTCCATTATATAAAAGTACAACAATTTTTTTAGCCATTCCTCAGTGGATGGACATGTGGCTTAGCATAGTAATTTAACATTGTCATTTCTTATGGGAAATTTGGATTTTTAGAAAAACAAGCAATGAAAGAAAAAGAAAGCGCATGAGAGAGAGAGAAAGAGAGAGAGGCAGAGTGTGAGCGAAAGGTACAATCTCAAAGTCCAGATAACTAAAAGAACCCTCATTTGGTGACCATCTCTGCAGTTGAAGATTTAGCACAGAAAGATGATAAATGTCAAAAAACTGATGAATGCATATGACAGTGTACAAAATACTCATGCATGCTTAAATTTGCATAGATAGTGTTGCCCTTTGTAGATTATTAGTACTGATGCCAATACTATGTTTAAATATATTAATATGTTAATAACATCTTTAAATATATTAATTAATTAAACCTGATAATAAAATGTGACCAGTGTGAGAATATGAATAAGGCAATTCATGATAAAATTTTGAGCAAAAAGTCATTTTTTGCCAGAAAGTAATAATATCTACCATTCATCAACATGATCTGATTTGATTTTCCATGTATTAGTGCATCAAATTATCTTAACATCTTTAGATTAACATGTTAAAATCATTGTTTGACAGATGATGACACTGAGACACAGAGAGTGTTAAATGACTTGTTCAAGAATATACAACCTACAATTATGAGAGACAGCATTTGATTGAAGGTAGTTGCATTTTAAATTGCACTACTTTGGACCCGTATATTTTATAACCTGCAAAGTGGAATCATGTTAACTACTCAAATACCTCACTTCAATTTTAAATGATAAAGAGAATGTCTATTCTGAGATAACTTTTAGTATTACCAGTTTAATAATGTAAAAAGTTGGAAAGTTTAATATAAAACTTTCAAATAGTGCAGAAAACAAAGTCAATTGTCAAAAAACAAACATGAGTGCACATATATCACTGCGGTATGATGTTTTCAGTTTTTCCCAAAAAAATACCCAGAATGGGAATAGCTGGGTTAACTAGAACCACTAATTCTAGTTTTGTGAGGAATGTCCACAGTAATTTCCACAGTGGTTTCACTAGTCTAAACTCCCACCAGTGGTGGAAAAGGGTTCCCTTTTCCCCACAGTCCCACCAGCACTTAATATTGGTTGATTTCTTGATGATA